TTTTGCACAAATATATTACACGATTCAGACAATTTACGTCTTCTTATTGTTTTGTCAAAGATTTATCAAGGGAAATAATTGCTTTAAAAATATTCCCTTTGAATTTAGTAAATAGGAAAGATTCTGAGGAATTATGTATTTAGAAGTAGTATTCATCATGGACTGACATTAGTTGGGGAACCATTGGAAATCTGGGAGTACTGGACAGCTGTTTCGTCCTAGTATGGGACTCCTCAGCAGTATGCACCCACTACCCGGCTAGGGGTCGGACTCAGGACCTTCAGGTTTCACGGTGAATGAGTTAACCACTCAGCCACTGGGTCAGTTTCCAGTGGTTCACAATTTCCAACTTCAATCAATTAAAATCCTCATTCATCTCGAAAATACATTGCTCTATAGTGCTCATCAGTGCCTTGCTTCCAGATGGATATTACGAAGTTCTAATGAGAAGCCATGACCTGTGGGGTCAACCAGTAGGAAGTGAAGTGGATGCTAACTGAAGACCTTGGGTGACAGTCGCGCTATGTCGTGTATTGACAGAAGTTGGAAATTGTGGACCACTGGGAACTAACGCAGTGGCTGAATGGTTAACTCATTCGCCGTGAAACCTAAAGGTCCTGAGTCCAACCCCCAGCCGGGTAGTGGGTGCATACTGCTGAGGAGTCCCATACTAGGATGAAACAGTCGATGATGAATACTACTTCTAAATTCAAAATCTCTACTCATCTCAAAAATTATATTTTTGTTTTCAATGATTTTATCGTGTCTAGCAGTAAAATGTCATCTTAATGATAAATGAACAGTTAATAGCAAACAAAATCGATAATTTCTAAGGAAAAAACAAAAATTTGAGTGGATATATATTTTCATTACAATCTCATCATGTTATATAATGTGCTACACTTAGAAATAAACACACATCGAGTGGTTACATGAAATCCTAACAGTTATCTGTACTGTAGCTTGATGTTAACGAGGATATTATCCTTAAGGTTCAAAGGTTTGCAGGGAACAGAGTGCGCTGGAGACGTGCTACTGAAGCCCTATGTTCCATTAGGAACCCAAAGGACAAATAATAATAATTATTATTATAATCCTTAAGGTAGTATTCACCATGAACTGACATCAGTTGGAGAATCACTGGATACCTGAGAGCTTTGGATAGCCGTTTTGTCCTAGTATGGGTTCCCCAGTAGTACCCACCCACATTAGGCTAATTATAGGATTAAAATTATGTAACACTTTGCTATACAAGGCGTTAAATCATTAATACATAAAATGATTATCTAGTCTGTGAGAAAGTGTCGATCAAATCGTGTTGCTTGCTGTCTTGCTGTCTTTCCGATCCTGGCTTTGATGTCTTCATCTGTGCAGCCGCTTGTAGTTGAAACGATGCTGCGCAGTTAGGTATAGGTGAAAGAGACTACTTCCTTTAGGTTTCTCCCGTTGATGCTGATTGGTGCTCGTTGTTGATGTCATTGTTGTTGTTGGTTGGGCATCTTCATCACCTCTGTCTTCTCTTGGTTTACCTGAAGAATTCTACAGCTAGCCACAATCCATGCTTAACATAATCAGATTGCTGGTAATATCAAGGCATCCGCACAGGAGCCCATATGGCAATAGAGATCGATCAATTCGGTCCAATCAACGACTGTATCATCTAAAAACCCTAATACCTGAAGAAAGTCTCGTTTTCACTGCCTTGTCTTATCTCTTCTGCCAAATTGTTAGTTTTCGCCTGCAGATCATCGATTTTGTGCAACATTAGACGTAAATCATCATTGGCGAAACCGAGATATTCTCCTAGGGTCTTTTCATCGTTGCAGCCAGCGTATGCCTGTCTTCTCGCTCCTCACGGTTTACTGCATGATCCAGTGCACCACAATCAGGAAGATCATGGGTGATAGTAGACAGCCTTGTCTTACACCTGTCTTGACTTCAAAGGCGTCAGTGAGCTTTCCATTGTGGATCACTTGGCATTTGGTCTTTTCATATAACTGTTGAATGAGGTTGATAAAGGTTAGTGGCACTAAAAGTGTTGTGTTGAAGCAACTACCGAATTACTTCTCGGTTCCATGATGGATACCAACTTAAAAAATAACATTTTAATCTTTGATAAATACCTATGCATCATTTCTCTTCTGAATCACTTCAACATCAGTCAGCCAACAGTTCATTTTACTTATGAAAATAAAACCAATACTTCGATACATTTTCTTGATGTACTAATGACAATGAAAGAGGATGCCTCTATACTAAGAAGTATATATAGGAAACTGACGTCTAAGGCATAATATAAACACTTTCTCAACTTCCTACCAATGAAGTGCAAGTATAATTAGTTGCCTAGCATTTAGAGTAAGATCGATTCACACCAAAGAGTGTATGGAAAAAAGAAGATGTACCAAGTGGCATTCTACCACAATTCCCACCTATAGCAGTCAATAGGATATTTTAAGTAGATTGGCTTTGGATATATTTCAGTAGTCAGTCATTGCCTAATCTGAGATTAAAGAATAGTCTACCTAATCTTAACTCTTCACTATGCATACAAGTTATCCAAAGGGTACATCTCTGGATAAGAGAACATTTACTGGCTGGGCATGGAAAAAGTGAAGTGAAAATGGTGAAAAATCCTATCCTATCATACAATGTCAATAACTGAGTTCTTCCATATACTAACAATAGAAAAGGAATGTTGAGACACAGCTATCATGAACATGATAGGTATAGGTATTAGAGAACTAATTAGTGACGAAATTCTTTGTTCATCAACAAATTAACAATCTATTCAAACAGTTGACTAGCTAAGTTCAATGAAATACAAATAATTAAATTATGCCCAGTTCGATTTTGATGTGACAAAACTATGAATAGGTGGATCAGTATTACCAATGATCTATACCACTTTTCATCTCATATCTATCAATCTAGATGTGACTACGCTAAAAAATGAATTTTCTTTTAAATTACAAGTCAGTGTTAGAAAACCAAAACAAAAGAAGTCAACCAATCACATAATTGTACTCCTCTCTGAGTACGCTAGAGGCAGGAAGTCACCAATGGGGTTTAGCATACGCCAATGCACTCACTCTAAGTGACCAATCAGGTTACACCCAAGTATATACATTTATATATCGATGTACAAATAACTACTTCATTTCCTTGTGAAACTGTTATCCACTGATGACCATGTCTAGCACGGCAGACAACCGTTTGCCAGAAAAGCCATAAATATTCGCCGCAATTTAGTAATCTATTTTCAGGTCAGCCAGAAGATTTTTGGAGGAAATAATAGGAACATCAGTAGTTTACGAATATAAAAGGTAATCTCTGAAAAGTAGTGATAGAGTGGTTAAAGTCAAATGATGATTTTATTTGCGGTAACTTATGCTTCGATGCACTCTACTGACTATATATTTGTTCTGAAGAAAAGTTGAAGATACAACGCGGAAGTCTATGCATCAAAATAACTGAAGGCATTGAGTTCAAGAAATTGAAAAGGAGAATAACTAAGTCGCAGTGCTACCTATCACCCACCACTCTGCTACGAAGTGCCGTGTGAACACGAACGACTATCTACTCCGTTAGGTGATATTGATTGAAGTAGGAGTGGACTGTCAGAAGAAGGCTACAGGTGGTGAAATGAAGACATGGTAGAAGTCCACAATGTCTCTGACTACTAATTTGAAGAGTCTAGAGAGAATGGTTTGAAAATCTAGATGACACGTTGAAAATTAAGTTAAAACGATGCTGATGTATGTATTCCTTGAAGTCTTGTAAAGTCTGAACATTTTCACTAGCCTTCATTTGAAAAAAAATCCTCTCTGTTTTCATACTGTTTTGTCTACTTTTCACTTGATCTCTACACAGTCTTGTATAGTGTGCCAGTTTGAACCGATACACTTCTGTCCTAGTTCATTGTCTTATATGTCCCATGACTTGTTATCATAGAAAAAAACTATGGAAATTTGGAGAAAGCTGCCTTTTAAAATTTGTTTAAAGTTATTAATTACTTCGTCCTGACATCACCAAATAATATTTGCCGACTGGAAAAAAAAAACCTTCTTGGCTTCCTCAACACAATCGTAGGAAACCACTCAAGAATATCCTCTGCGAATTGAAACATCCACTACATGGAAGCGTTTCGAAATATATAATCTAAGAATTCACTTATCAATACGGTCACGATTAAGCTGTTGGCGAGTTAACCAGTATTCAATCGGAATGACCTTTCGTAAGTGATTTCCATTGATGTATAGAAGCATAATCACAGCTTTGACCATGACAAAGTAGGAGTTATAAGATGGTGACCGATGTAAACTACAGGAAAATTGTTGGGAGTGATTATCAGTAGGCACCTGCATGTACGCCAGATAAATAACCGAGTATGAGGAAATATACTCGCTGATCGCTTTACATAAGGGTGGTGGAATGTCACGACGCGAAAATATTGGCCAGTCGATCCCGACCCAGCAGCCGTAAGACCTAACGGCCCGATGTTCAACCTCTGGTAGGGTCGTGAGATCTCACTGCTGTGAAGTTCCATTGAAGCAACAAGAAGATAGACACGAAGGATATAGCATGTGCTGTCGACCTTTGGCACGGTAGTCGTTAGATAGGGTACACCTTGCACTAAAACCATCATTTGCAAAATGTGCTTCATTTCGTCTTCTACTTCTCTCTTGATTTGTTCTTCATACATTCTTATCAGCAATGCTCCTGCGTTATCCCTTGCTTTACTCTTGGCAGAATACTTACCCATTGCTGATAATTCCTTATGATGTCTGCCACCCTCTCAACATATACTACTTATATCCATTCTTATCAGCGACGCATGACAGAAAAATCATCTTTCACCTAGAACCAGATCATTTTTTAAGTTGACAAGATGGTGAGATGATCCACTTATCTATCCAAGAAAACATCATAGCTAGTATTAAAAAAACGCTAAATACCATTGATTGTCATACTGTTACAAATTATCAGTATGCATACGATTGTAGTAATAAATTTCAGTTTATTCATATCAGAAAGAAAAAAACAGTTTACATTTATATACCATTCCATTTTTAAACTTTATCAACAATCTGTTCAAGATTGATGACATTTTCTACTTTCTGTTGTTCATGATGTTGTAATTGTGATGGATGTTGTTGAAGGTGATGATGCTGTTGATGTTGTACTTTTCTCAACTGAGATAAACTTCGTCCACTAGAAGTGTTAACATTAGATCCACGTGGTAAGCTATTATTATTATTATTATTATTATTATTATTATTATTACTGTTTGGTGTATTACTACCCAACAAGCACTTTGTTGAATATGTTTGACCCAACAATATCCATGGGATAACCGATGCTTCCTGACGAAGCCATTGAATATGAATGGGTAGAAAGTTAAATTTCTCTTGTAGTTGATAATTGGACATTTTAAGCAGATCTGCTGGTGTCATTGGTATAAATTTATTATTACACTTATTACTATTATTACTATTACCACCTCCAGGACAACCTTTCATAATACTACTATTATTGTTATCAGTAGTATTTACAGTGATACTATAATGAAGTATATGATTTATGTACATTGGTAAACCGATTGTAACTAAAAATTCTTGTAGACTTCCAGTCTTTATTCCATCACAATTAAGAAAACGTTGTGATCGAATCTCATCGTTGTATGATATCTAAAAAGAGAAGAAAATAAATGAGTTTTTGATAAGAAGAGAACAATATTTACAGATTACATGGATTATATTTTCTACAGCAGTTTACCCAATCTTTTCCAACAATCAGAATGTTCATCTCATTTTATCTTTGAAAATTGTGAGCTTGGGCTCGAACCCAGTGCCTATTGCTTCAATCGTTGTATTGTTACCCACTAAGCCATACAGACTAAAGAATTACTCTTTATAAATGGGTTATTGTTTGTTATTTGTTTGTTTATGCCAGCCTGAGAGGGAACACCCTCATCCATTTCAGTGCAAGTACGTCCAGCTGACGAATCCTAAATAGAATGAAACGTATGTCCTGAATGCCGTTATTAACCACCAAATAGACGTCAACATAATAAGAACCCGGGCAATATCAAGGCATAGGAGCTCATCTATCAACAGAGGTCAAACAATTCGATTCGGTATGATTAAATAGGGTTCAATGGTCATTGTAACAGTACAACTTTTGCTGACAACATAACTTCATGATGCAAGTGAACTGCATGAACTGAGAGTGTTATGTGTTGGATGGGGGTGGAGTGAGGCAATAAGTAGGAAATCCTGTCACATCTAGATTACCTGCTTATTGTTAGTCATCAGCAAAGCGAATCTACAACTTCATGGATAATTTCACTGCTTGGAGACGCAATCAGAAAATTTTCTATCATACTACTCATGTTTCAACTGATCCTTTGTAGAAAAGGAATATGCATACAAATTGTCCACTACTAGGCAACAAGTATAGCTAATCAATTCTTATTACATACTACTGATACTTCAAAAGTAGATTCAATCGTTTCTTTTTTGTCTTCATGGGTGTACAGTTTAGTATAGTCTATTGAAGCATTAATGACAACATAATGAAATATGAAATCATGTGATAAATAGTTGATATTTACATTGAAAAACAGAACATTTCACCAGTTCGATCATTTCCGAAGTTGATGCAAAAACATGACGGATCCTTTGGATTACTGATTTATGTATCCGATTGGAATATGAAATAGTTACTATAAATTATTTTTTCTCCTTGGGTTCCTATTGGAACATATGGCTTCTGTAGGACATTTCCATTGCACTTTGTTCTCTGCAGTCTTTTCAACCTGATTCCACGACTCTCCATAACCTTTCATTTCTTCTTCACATGATCTCTTCCATGTCACCCTCAGCTACGATGCCCGACTCGTCGTTTCCCATTTGAATTCCACTCGATGACCTGGTCTGGCGCATGACGTGGCCAATCAGTCTTCCTAGTGTATGCCCAATTCATCTCCACTTCCTTCTGCATGTCTGTTCAGCGATGGGTTGTTGGTTGGTTCGTTGCCAGCCAGTCAGAGTTCCTCCTTGCTTATTCTTATTATTCTGGCCATCCAGCGCAGGAAACTGTTGATGAATGTTTGTAGTTTGTTGAAAATGCTTTTTGTAAAGCGCCAAGTTTCTAAACCATATAGAAGCACTGGATTGAAGTTGGTGTTGAAAATCCGGATGTTGTTCATCTGTGCCTGTACCGCCTATAATTGAAACAGTGCTGCCTAGATAGGTGAAAGAGGCTACTTCCTTTTGGTTTCTCCCATTGATGGTGATTGGTGCTTGTTGTTGTTGCTGTTGTTGGTTGGGTACCTCCATCACCTCTGTCTTCTCTACGTCCACTCAAAGTCTCGTCTTCCTTCGGTGCCTTTTCTGTCAACTTGTTGGTTTTCGCCTATAGATCTTCGATTTTGTGCGACAGTAGACGCAAGTCATCATCGGTCCAGATAGCGTATGCCCATCTTCTCACGGCTCCTCATGGCTTGTTGCATGATCCAGTCCACCATAATCAGGAAGATCATGGGTGATAGTAGACAGCCTTGTCTTACTCCTGTCTTCACTTCAAAGGCATCACTGAGCTTCCCAGTGTGAAGTACGTGGCATGTGGCGTCTTCATATAACTGTTGAATGAGGTTGATAAATGTTTGTAATGGGAAGTCATTAACTGTCAAATATTGAAAGCAAAAAACTGGTTGGATTGTACAATCATAGATGGATACAGTTATAGATGTCTACAAATCATGCATTTCCATCTTTGAGACAATAAAAATCAATATCAGCTGGTAAGAAAGGTTATACTCAAAATTTATACTATAAAAGAATCAGTGACAGTTGGACAGGATGCTGTAACACTCTATTCTCCTTTTAAAAATGGTCAGTGTCAGTTGAAAAGTATACTGACTATATAATGTTAAACATTAGTCGGTGAATAGTGCCTGCTCCACTTAACATTCTAGTTTGTTTGTACTCATTGATACAGTGTGTACTTTGAAGCTTATGGAAATTGATTTCTCACTAGACGTTTCCAGACAACCATTTCAATAAGTCGCTTCGCATCATCATAGAACAGAGCGTAGAATGGCAATCAGCTCTCTGCCTCAACTTCATCGACTTTGAGAAGGCCTTTGACAGCGTCGACCGAGAAGTAATTTGGAAACTGCTTCAATACTACGGAGTACTGCAAACCTTTATCCGCCTCATTCAACAACTATATGAAGATGCCACATGCCAAGTAATCCACAATGGGAAGCTCAGTGATGCTTTCGAAGTGAAGACAGGAGTGAAACAAGGTTGCCTACTATCCCCCATGATATTCCTATTGTGGTGGACTGGATCATGCAGCAAACAGTAGGCAGCGAGAAGAGGGGGATACACTGGACGATGGAAAAGAACCTAGAAGACTTGGATTTCGCCGATGACTTGTGCCTAATGTCACATAAACTTGAAGATCTGCAGGCAAAAACTAACAAGTTGACAGAAGAGGCAGCTAAACGGGACTTCAAATGAATATAGAGAAGACAGAGGTGATGAAGATACCGCACCACCACCAACAACAACAAACTCCAATCACCATCAATGGGAGGAACTTGAAGGAAGTAACCTCCTTCACTTATCTAGGAAGCACTGTTTCAACTACAGGCGGGACGGACGAGGACGTCAAAGTCAGAATCGGAAAAGCAAGACAGGCCTTCCTTAGCCTGAAACCAGTGTGGAGATCTTCTGCACTCAGCATGCGGAACAAGATACGGATTTTCAACACCAACGTCAAGTCAGTGCTCTTGTATGGCTCAGAGACTTGGCGCGTCACGAAAGGCATTTCCAATAAACTACAGACATTCATCAACAACTGCTGACGCTCGCTATTGGAGATCAGATGGCCAGAACAATAAGAATAAGCAACAAGGAACTCTGGGAACGAACCAACCAAGAACCTATCACGCAACAAATATGCAGGAAGAAGTGGAGATGGATTGGGCATACACCGAGAAGGCCGACTGAGGACATCACGCGTCAGGCCAGTTGCTCGAGTGGAATCACCATGGGAAGCGACGAGTTGGACATCCGAGGTGAGGGTGACATGGAGGAGATCGTGCGAGGAGGAAATGAGAGGTTGTATGCTGTCAAGGGACCAGGTTCAAAAGATCTCAGAGAACAGAGGTCACTGGAGGCGTGCTAGTGAAGCCCTATGTTCCACTAGGAACCCAAGGGACTAATAATAATAATAATTTCAATAAGTACTAAAATCATATATTTTATCGCGTGTAAATATTGAACACTTTTAGCCTAGGGTGTAAGGTGAAAATTTGATCAGTATTTAGAAATTCAGTGTTTCATCTTCATTATTATTAGTATCAGTATTGAATTAAGCATTACTGCCGAACGGTTCAAGTTGTAACACCTCATATCAGTATATCAAGTAACAATGCAACAAAATGGAAGGTGAAGAAAGAAAGAAAAATCGATCAAAACCAGTAGAAAGTAGTAAAAGAAAGAAAGGAAGAAGGAGAAAACATTAATTTCAACATAGCGATTCATATGAATGCAAAATGTGGATACATCTATGCCACATAGATCGATTCTGAGTCTGCATGCTAACGTCTACTGAGAAGTCTGCATTCCTGTGCATGACTCAGACCAACAGTTAAGTACTTCAAGAACTGATCCCATATTTTAGTCTGGCCACCTCTAACCTTTTTCTCAGCACAAATCTACTTCAGCTTACACTGTGTGACGACGCATGTATAGCACATGACCCAACCATCTGAGTCAATGAAGGTTCTCAACCTTCTCAACTGAGTTTCCTCTCCTCCCTAAAAATCTACACTTGACTGCTGAATAGCTGACCGACAAACGACCTCTGCTAAGAAGGCAGTAATAGTCGAATACCTGATACCTCCTCAAGTTCTTCAGCTGTATTGGGCAAGTTCCAGATCCACTAAGTTGAAAACATAGGACTGTAGCGTAGTACACTCAACCCTTAATAGACAATCGAATACCTCAGGGATGGCATAAGTGACGTTAGTTGACGAAATCCAATCCAACCTTTTATATAAGTGCAGAGATTTCGCCGATGGCTGACCCACTACCACTGATTCAACTGCACAGGTGAGTGAAGTGTTCAAAGAAATTACCCACTTCACTCCCTATTTTTAGCTGAGGCACTGCTGAACATCAGCCCTAGAGTAAGATCTTGCATCTGAATGGCGAGAAATGCATCTCAAACATTATCAAATTGTCAGTCAAAGTGTCCAGAAGACTCTGTATCTTGTCAGTGTCTTCAATCACCAGGACGTGTCATCTGCACAGAATTCTAAGATTTAACGTTTCCAACGTGAAATTTCTGACAGCAGCCGTTGGTATCACCTATACTGTACAATATAATGACTAATCTTCCTCACATGTTATCAAGATGTATTGATATTAGACGGTCTAAATTGTCGGTACAGATGTGGAAGTTTGTATGAAATTGCGGAACACGAATTATTACCATCTAGAATACACTTTAGCTAGGTATTATATATATATATATATATATATATATATATATATATATATATATATATATATATATATAGGTGAATGAGGATTTCAACTCTGGAGTAGTATTCATCACTGACTGACATTAGTTGAAGGACCACTGAAACCCTGCTGAGGAGTCCCATGCAAGGACGAAACAGCTGTTTATTGCTCCTAGGTTTTGAATGGTTCTCCGATTGATTTCATTCTATGATGAATACTACCCGTAAATTAAAATTGCCGTTCACCTCGAAATACATTACTGCATAGTGCTTATTAGTGACATACTTCCAGATAGGTAACCTGAGATTCTAATGAGAAGCTATGACCTGTGGGTAAACCAGTCGAAAGGGGAGTGGATATCAACTGAAGACCATGGTGGATAGTAACACTTTAAAGTACTGAACTCCGACCTAGTGGCTGAATGCTAAGAGTGTTCGCCTTAAAACCTGGAGGTCTTGAGTTCGACCCCTAGCCGGGTGTCGCGGGCGGACTGCCGGAGAGTCCCATATTGGGGCAAAACAGCTGTCCACTGCTTCCAGGTTTTCGATCGCTCTTCAAACTGACCTAGGTCTTTAATAAATACCATCTTGAAATCACTCCATCCTAAAAAGTCTTTAACAAACTGAAATAGATATTTCCTGCAAGTTTACTTTATTTTAAACTTACCACAGGTCTTCGCATTTCCCTCAAATTTGCATCCCTTTCAGCTTCCAACCCCATTGCAACTGTAATTAGATCCAAATTAGTCTCAAATGAATAACGTTGAATTAAACGTAAAGGAATGTTTGCACGTCCACTCTATGATAATACAATGAAGAAAAACATGAATAATTTTATGAATTCATCAATTAGAAATTTATCGTCTTATCAAGTTTGTCAGACTTCTGTCAGACTTCATATACTTAATTGTAGTTAGTAATCTTCATGTAAATTTCATTGTTAAACAGTATACATGTAACCCAAATGAATTTTCATCTCTTCATAGGCTCTTCGATTCATATCCCTTCCAGGTGTCGAACCCAAGACTTACAGGACTTGTGGACAGTATGTAACTTTATTTACCACTGAATAAAGGCTTAGCGGTTAATATTTTACTTCTCTTGTCAATTCGTTATATAGAGCGATTAGCCACTAAAGTCTCCAGTTGGCATTCACTTCACTTTTGATTTAGCTGAGTCCAAATATCAAACTCGAAGCATTCGCGTTCGCAATTTATAGCACGTTTACTCTTTGTATTGGGTAGGAAGTGTAGCGTTACACACTTCCCCAAAATCAATAGCCTAGGGTTTGACGACTTTCGACATTGATGCTGACCTTGATAGTTTAACTGGACTCGCTAAGCTGAAGGCACCCAGTCAAGCATCCTCGCCATTTGGCACGCTGTCGTGTTACGTTGCATTGCTCGTATTCGACTCTCTAGCCAGTTAGTTGGAACGCATCGGTATTTTGGCACAACCATCCAAATATACTATTCCATCAGACTACGCTATCGTGTTCTTCCTTGGTCTCGTATTCGTGGGTATATAACAAGTCCGAATAATTAGTGATTGGTCTTTGCGTCTGTCAAGTTCGCACCAGGACAAATCCTAAAGAAGCACTACAGTGGACTGTAGTAAATCTTGTTTTGATAGTGTAATCTCTCAATCATTAAAATATGCTTCACTACTTTTTCCTGTTCAACTGGACTTTCACCACTGATACTGTGACGAATGATGTGATATTTCTTTTTTCAGAAACACAGAATTATCACTTGACTATCATCACAGAATTCATGAAAAATATTCATTCAACCTAGGATGAACATTAGGTTTTTTTCTGTCATTAATTCTTCTACTTACTTATTATTGCAACTCAGTAGTATAGTTTAATTTGAATAATTTTAGGTTTGAAGTGTTATCATTACTTTTAACGCTGATCACAAAGACAACTAAATTGAAAACTGTTTTATATCACCATTGAAAGTATGTTATTGGGATTACTAATGAATCATTTAAAGATTAAAAGTGAACTACGTTTAGAATTCTTAAGCTAAGATGAAAAGATGATTTAACGCACAGTTAATAATCTAGTTTATAGGCTAACTATTGAGGAGGAGAACGGAGAAATCAGTTGTAGTAGGATTTGAATTAATCGCCTTCTGGTTATCAGTATAGCTATCTAAAGATTGAATGGGATATAAAACACATTTAATAAACAGATCTCAACTTAGTCTTAAGAAAATAGGGTCTTATGCAGCTACCTTATGAATAAGTGACATATAACCATCCACTGAACATTAGAGGTACATATTACTGGAGAATACATACATTCCAAATAAGTAAACACACAAAGGGAAGAATCTTACCTCATCAGAATAAGGTGGTTGAGTAAGATCAATACTTTCGGCAGTTAATTTCTTCTTCAGCATATGTCTAGCTAAGTGGATATGTTGAATGTACATATTTCTTGAATCATTACTTATCATCTGCATAGAATTAGGTATTGCTGAGAATGATATTGATGTAATTGTTGATTGTTGTTGTTGTTGTTGTTGTTGCAAGGGAGTAGGCGGAAGGGGCAGATTTGAATGACCACTTTGAGGATATTGTACAAAATAACTTGATGACGATGACGATGATGATGATGGTAAGGATACAGATGCTAGAGATGTTGCTAATGGAAGAGGTAGCAGTGATGTTGGTGTTGGCGTTGGTATAGATGAATTCAACAGACTTGATTCTTTCATTTGTTGTTGTTGTTGTTGTCTTGGCGATGAAAGAAATCGTTCATCAATTTTTACTGTTTTCGGTGTAGTTGAAGAGGAACGTTTTATGTTTTCAGAATATTTTGCATCGGATTGACTATCCCTTGATAATCGACCATTACGCAAAATACTTACAGGATGTTTCTATAATGAAAAGTATGCATATTTTAGGCAGTTGGGAATATATTTAAAGCGGATATCATTTATTTTTAGGTAAAGAACTAGCAGTTAAGTAAGAATTTCATTGCATGAACTACCCTCTGTGTGTGTGTGTGTGTGCCTTCGAGAATATTAACCGGGAAAGAATTGAAATTTCTAAGAATATATGACAAGAGTTTCTCTTTATGAGAGGTATTAAATAACCTGTTGATCCCACGGGTTTCTAAGGTACCATGGTCTTTAGTTTCGTTCCGTGCTCATTAGTGACATGCTTTCAGATGGATATTCTGGGATTTTAATGAGAAGCTGTAACCTGTGAGGTCCACCGGTGAGAAGAGAGGCGGATGCTAATTGAAGACATTGAGTGATAATTGCACTATATCATAAGTCAACACAATTAGGAAACTGTGAACCATTGAGCTCCAACTCAGTGGCTAAATGATTAACGGGTTCACCATGCAACCTGAGGTCCTGAGTTCGCTTCCTGCCTCGGTCGTGAGGGTGAAGTGCTGAGGAGTCCTATGCTAGGACGAAACAGTTGTTTAGCCTGTCCATAGGTTTTCAATGGTACTCTAATTAATATCTGCCCGTAATGCATACTACTTCGGAAGTGTTTCAAGTTATTTAACAAACATAACTAAGTAATTTTCAAGGTGTTCTCATCTAGGAGGGAGATCATTTGTTGAATTACTGAAAACTTAGGAGTACCAGATGTAAACGTTGAGGATGAAACAGTCATCTAGACACTTTCAGGTTTTCAGTGATTCTCCAGTTAATGTCACACAGTCAACTAATCTCTACAGACCAATAACGGAACACTTAACTAAATATAGTAGGGGATTTCAAATTAGAACTCAGAAGGTGGACTTCCTCACCAACTTACATTAACTACATTCAGCAGAAGTACCACGTACTGAGTGGAGATTTATTTGAAAAATAGACTATTGAGTTATGGCTTTCAAGAGCCATTGCCTCAGCTTACAACTATCCATATAGCAATTCAGAGAGAAGTAACTAATCTTTGTGAAGTGAATAAGTATAGTCATCCTGATGATGGAAAGCTGGTAGCAACGGAATTCGAGGAGTGCGTTTTGTCCCATTCTGGGATTCGTCAGCCGGATTTATCAGCCTCCCCCCAGTGAGTGAGTGCTGTTATCTCCACTGAGAGTTGAACCCAGAACCTATCGCTTCAAACTCAAGAGCGTTATCCACTAGCCCATTGAATCACGACAGCCACATCTTATGCGACGGGTATAGTTTCTATGTTGTTGTTTGCAATTTCCTGTCGTTGATAGGACCGCATTGATCGGTCCCTATTAGTATATGGGCTCTAGTGTGAATGCCTCGGTATTGCCAGTGTTTTCAATGTAGATAATAGAGGTGGATAGTAGCTTGCAGTTGAATGCAGGAACTGTGTTTCGTCATATTTGTGACTCTTAAGCTGGATGTATCTCGACCCTAGGGAATGACGGTGTCCCCACCGACGCTCGAACCCCATACTCATTGCTTCAAACTCCAGAACGTTATCTGCTGGACCGTCAAGTCACGATAATCGCTTCGAGGCACCCATAGAGGAGCCCAAATGATAAACAATGACTGAGATTTACAATTCATAACATCAAAAGTACAATCATCCTAGTTTATAATTCATTATGGTTCATATACTAATACACCAACCATCTACACTGTGGTTAATGTGGGTAATTTTTATACTGATTAATTTCTCTTTCTCTCAGTGATGACGTGTTGTTGCACACAAGAGTGGATCTATGAGGTTCATTGATTTAAGCTGTCGACTTTCAGGCAATGGATCACGGGTTTGAACCTCTCTCCACCTAACGAGGTCATACAGTAGGTGTGGCTCACTGAATACTATACGAATACTCATGTGATTACTGAATGCATTCCAACTCGGTTAGCATGCAAGAGGACTGAGGTGGACATAAAGACAATGACCTAACCCTCTCAGAATCCCATACGGTGGTGCTCTGTAACAGTTATCTTTTTCAACAGTCATTATTTATAATCTGCTTTAACTTCAAGTATAAGAAAATACCCATCAGCATACATCCAGCAGTGGATACAGTCAGTCAGTCAATATGGACATGGAAAGCAGGAACACATTAACACATCAAAATAAAAGGCACTAATGTCAGATTTTGAGAAATAGAGAAAAGTTTAATTAAAAATTGTAGAAGAACAGACAGCCAGGGAGAGACCATGAAATGTGATATAGCGATAATGGTAACATCCAGATGAATCTGGTGCACTGAGCTCAATTTTGATTCAAGTCAAGAGGGACTTAGAAGTTTACACTTTCATATACGCCCCAGATCAACAGTCATAGACTTCATGAAATAGTCCCACGTTTAGACATGGCCACATTTGACCTTTTATCAGCCTAATTTTACTTCACCTGAATCCTAATACAACCAGTCACTGCCACTAAAGCCCCTCCTAATTTTGCTAACCTCCTTTATGTTGTAGCATCATATATGTCTGTATGAGACTCTATGTTGTTTATTATTCTGTTTGCTGATGGATTAAGGTACTTATTTATTGTTATTCAGGCATCGCTCTGTGATTACCATCAGTAATTTTCCTCGGGACTGTTTCACCTTTCAGAAGTGTAGTGAAGCTTCCAAAAGGCACTAAGGAGATGAGACCTACACCAGCTACTACTCAATAACTGACTTGTGTACACAATCCAATCCTACAATACGTCACAGATGGTCTGGAAATCCTCCCAGCAACCTTGTTCACATTCATGTAGCAGGCAATGAGCCGCACCTAATGTGTGACGGCTGCTATCTGACCGGTTAAACCTTGGTATGGGAAAGTGTACCCAAACCCGAGATCTACTAGCTGAAATTCAACTCTTTAAACCAATAACCCATAACTCCACGGATGACCTGGATAAATTGGTCGTCAAGTCTATGCCACTTTTCTTGAAGGTATTTCATGCGTGATATCTCAAGTCTTGTGGGAACTGATGTTCCACCTGAGATTTTAATCCACGTCACTTTGTATAACAGCTGGAGATCAAATCACTGGGTGTTAGGGTCACATTGACTGATTCCTTGAAAGTAGTTACTTTCATGTTGTTTAGTCTTCAGTGTTCACTGAATTTGATCAATAATTTTTTGGCACAGTCACCAAGTTAGGAGATTCATCATTGACATGCACTTTGATTGGCGTTAGACGGTTCGAGGCAGTTGACAGGAAGTCCTGACATTCATCAAGGTTAAACGCAGTGGTGAATCTCCTAGTTTGGTAGCCATACTGCAAATGATCAACAGAATTCAATCAGTACTTAGGACAAGACAGCACAAAATTGGTTACTTCATAAGAACCAATCAGCATATGATGTATACCAATAAATTTAAGGCCAATGGCTCAGTGGTAACATGCTGGCGGCAGGATTTGAAGATCTTGGGTTCGACTCCTAACAGGGTCATAGGTGAGCACTGTTGAGGAGTCTCATTCTAGGACGGACGGCTGTCCGGTGTTCCTCGGTCTCCAAAGTTTCTCCAGCTGATGTCCATCCATGATGAATACCAACCTGAAATCAATGAATAAATGCTAACAAACCTCCAAAGTAACTTAAATTCATACTGAATACTTTGGATAAACTACATAGAGTAGTCCGCTAATCAGTACGGCGTGGTTGCTAAGACTGCCGTTTTTAAGACAGAGAAAGCTGTTAGCTAGCCTAGAAGTAACTACACTGATTATGTAAGCAGAACAAACAATGAAATGTCGGTTTGTGAAAACTAGCAGTGATTATACTTTATTCTAACCAAACATTCTTCAGACAATAAGGATTATATTATATATTCCCATCTAATAAAAGGATAAGGGTGAATGTTCGTTATCTATATAAGAAGTTCCAGAAATGACTATCTCCTGGCAAAATGGACAACTTCTGTAAACAACCAAATATTCAAGCTTCATAAAGCTTAGCAAAGTTAGTACACCACCTATAAAACAGTCTAAATATGCTTAAATCAACTCCTGGTGAAGTCATGGATATATTCTATCGAAGAGTCACATAGTAAGAAGAAACAGCCGTCTAGCCTGCCATCAGATTTTCAGTGGTTCTCTAATTGATACCATCTTGAAGTCAACAAATCCACACAAATCTCATAACTTAATTACAGTCTAGAGTTTACTAGTGATATATTTCAAGATGAGACCTCCTGAAGTGTTTATGAGAAGTCATGACGGGTGCAAAAAACTAAGTTGAGCATGAGAAAAAACATTGAACAATGTCACTGGATGATGATCATGCTATATTGCGAGTCGAAAGACTTAGGAAAATGTGGATGGTTGGATTCCTACCCACAGATTGGATGATAACATGTTCGCCAGGAAGTATTTTGCTCCTGGATTCAATTTCTTGTGCTGTCATGCGTGCGGATCTCTGAAAAGTAGATACTGAATGACGGTGATTAGAAACGCAAATTTTTTCATCAGTTCAATGAAAATAAAGCAAAAGTTGAATAATAATGGTAATCACGAGCTGAAATAATGTCGTATCATCAGTAGTACATACATGATTCAAATAACCTAGAGGTTATACTCATGACCATGAAGACATCAGTTCCTTGAAGGTTGCGGGTACGCCTAACTGAGGAGAGCCAGCAGGATGAAACCTAGCTGAGAAACGGCTTCCTGCCGATTGCTTCCAACCACCTAAGAAGGCACAGGTGAAAAAGATTTAGATTTCTTCTGCTCAATTTTTACTGCTTTCACAATATGAGGATGTTGAAGGCAAACAGTCGAACTACAGCATGATGAATGATAGTGAAGTCTATAATAATGTGACATACGAATTAGCTGTGTTTGCACAAGATTTGTGATTGTCTTTACCTCTCTCTCTGGATTGACCAAATAGGTAAGTGTTCATAATATATGATGGAATTACATAATTTTGCCTTCCTAGAGACTGACTCTTAAATGAAGTTGAAGTGACAAGTCATTTTGAAGGCAACTGTGTCATCGTTTTGCGAAGTTTTGATTTACTTAGAGGATATCACTGATTACAGACAGGACTCTGAAAAGTTTCCATGATGATAAATTTGGTAAAACCGAAGGGAATTATTTCTTATATTTTCATGTCGAAATATTCACTTTTTCTACGAAGTTTTCCATATTTCCCTAAAGTGATATAATTATGTACGAAAAGAACCATATAATTGAAAAATCAAACTCAACTTTTATTCTAACATCCTACACCTGACTAGTTAATTTGAAGTAAGCTGATAATACTTATCAAGTGATAAACCAGTTAAAAAACGGTGAGTAGGTCAAAACTGTCAAAAAAAGCCCTTCATCTATCTGTTCATTAAAAGTCTAGGATGGTAGAATATCATAGTTTCACTGGATAAGATGAATTTATGCTTGAACATGGACTCCTTATTCACTTGTATTTCTATCATAGATACATCTGACTATTTAGAAGTTACAGTAAAGGAACAAAAAGGTTTTATCGGCTTGTCACTAGATGACTTGATGGATCTTATTTTGAGATCTACCGTGAACGTAGAGTCCCCATGTAGTGGAAACGGATATAGGCGATTAGGTGGGATCGCTTTAGGTTCCCATAAGGACCACAGTCTTTATTACGAGGTTGAAGAGTAGTAAAATGAAGACGAGTATACAATACTAGATCCCTACTATCTTCATATTAAAGACACGTCCATCATAAACAATATAAATACTGATATATAAGGTCTACTATCAAGTTTCAATGAGGCAGGTTAACAGAATGATGGCTTTCATGCGGGGAGCTGAAAAATCAGAGGAGATTTTCTCTCTTGAAAGTCTTTGTAGCGGCTGGTCGGCTGAACGAATAGCCAAATAGAACAGCCAAAAAACTCACCTTCATGGTTCTATGTTTTTATGCTGAAAGGTGAACTTGGTTATGTTCCGAGCAAAAAATTAGACTCTAAGAGGGAGAAAACTGGAGGTGAGTTAAGGATAGTGTATAACCCCCTGATTTACAAGAGAGAAAGAGTAAAACACTGAGACCAAAGATGACCACTGTCTCTCCGAGTACATCATGGATATGAAATCGGTGCTGAAGCTCCGATCAGTTACAACTAGAGATTGAGCTGAGAGGTTTGTGGGAATCTATTGGGTTTCAGGTTGGTACTCAACACCAAATGATATCAGTTAGGAAAACAATTTAAATGGTGAACCAGTGGATTTCAATCCAGTCTCTGGATGGCAACGTGATAGATGCATGTCACTGGAAAGCCTCAGACCAGTACAACACAGATGACCACTGCTCACAGCGTTCCAATGGATCCTCAACTCATGCAAATCTATTATCAATAACCAATTTGATACTCAAGACAGATTTGAAGCAGATATTTTCTCCGATTTCACCCTTCACATGAACTCTACCACATGGTGAACCACGGATACAGTACTTCATTCATCCAAATCTAATTGTGTTTATCAGTTCACCTGCTCGTTTACTATCAGTTATCTTGAACTTGTTCAACATATGAAACGGCACCTCTCTACTTCAATAGATGAAGGAGGAATCGAAACAAGCACACGTTCTACACGTTCACACGTGGTTCACATGATATGAGTGAATACACTATTCAATATTATTATTAAGCCATAGGTTCCAGATCGAATTACATATGGTGTCCACCTTTCATGTCTTCTTCAAACCATGAAAGCAGTAATAAGCAAGAGGTGCAGTTTATTTCATTTGAAAACAACAACGCGGATGAATAAATGTTCCTTGAAACTTCTCAGTTTCCCAACTCAATTCATATCAAAATGTTCTACTACTGAGAAGTACTATCCAAGTATGAAACAGTTGTCCAATTCTCACAGGTTTTCAGTAGATCTCTAAGTGATGACAGTTCATGCAGAATGCCAACCTGAAATCCATAAATTCCCATAGACCTCAAAAATGGAATGAATTCAGTGCTTATTGGTGACTAGCTCCGAAAGGTGATTTCCGACGTTGAAATGAGAAGTGGTGACCAATGGGGCTAATCATTTCGAACATGAGGATAGTTACTCTAGAATGGTATTGGATGGAGGAAGTGTAAAATATTGGCTGTTTGATTTCAATCAACTGCCTCACTGGTGGCGTGCTTCAGGCTGCATCTGAACATCCTGATGACTACATGCTACTGAGGAGCCCCATACTAGAACGAAACAGCTGTCCAGTACCCCTAGGTTTTCAATGGTTCTCCAACTGATGTCAATCTGTAATGAATATTACTTTAAAAATAGAAATACACATTACGCTCAGAAAAATATAACTTACTGTTTGACAATTGGTTTCATTCGACGTATTCGAAGCTATAAAATGAGAATAAGAACATCTTAATGACTGTTAATCAGATAATATTGAAAATTGAAGTTCTAAAATTTATTACTGGTGAAATAACTCATTATAGTGTATAGATTTCACTAGCTGGTTTTGAGTTGATATAACTGTTTTATTCATTCATTTAAAACAAAGCTCCCCTCCCTTCTGTCTACAGATTCAGATAGGTTGGACCAACTGAATAGAACCTATACAACATGAAGTGAGTAAACAATATGTTGAGCATTTTAGCAGACTTCATAATTTATTATGACAAATGAATAGAACAGTGAGTGGTTCAGTGTTGAGATCATTCTAATCCCCTTTAACTAATTCAAAAAAACCATTGTCAATGATTTATAAAAAAAAATGTAGTACTTATTAGGAAATGTGTTTCTGATGAGTTGTATTACTTTCATGTCAGAGGTTACCAGTTGTAATCTTGGCTGTGTACAAGGCCAAGGTGAACATCATGCTGATAAATGTCCATAACTGAGTAAAATATGTTAAATGCAGCTTTCTGTCAATCCATTCCTAACAGTCAACACAGAAATGCAATGCACTAGAGTGTTACATCACTTCGCTAAATGGCAACATTTAAAAAATTGGTCGAAAGACTTCAGTCAATGCCGATCACTGGAGATTAGACAATTACATCGGTTACCCTCTTCTATATAACTTATACAACTGATCCAACGATACAGGGGGTCATTTATATTTATTTGTAGGTGCATAACATTGTATGATTGTGACCTTTCTTCCTTTTGAGTTGAATCTTGCTGTCATGATCCTGGAGGAGATTGGTTCCCACTGCATGAGAGCCTTCGATGCTCTTAGGGACATCATGATAGCCACTCCAGAACTCAGTGTGCTCGTGGTTGTCGTCTGGGTGACCGGAGTAGATTATTGATTCTCCAGTTGACAGTTTGGAGAGTCCACTCCATTCCATCTGCTTTCGCAGATCCCAAGCACTTCGATGTGATACCTTCTCATCTCCTTTGCAATCTGGGCTGCCTTACTGGGTTCAAACATCGTGCGGACATTCCATGTCCCCACGTTTACTTTCGCTTTCATCGAGAGAAGACACATCGGCCAATTGGCTTCCCGAAGGCTTTCACCAACTGGCGTCATTTCGCCTCTCCGATTCCAGCGGGGAATAAGTTTGTTTTCATTTTTTATATCTTGTTTGTGCTTTGAAGTTTCTTTAGCGGTTAGATTTGTTTTACGGGGTAGGGTTGCTAGCCCTATGCCCAACCTTCCCTCTTTACCCGGGCTTAGGACCGGCTAGTAACTAGTAAACTAGTTAACCAGGCGGGGGGGGGTCATTAGTGGCATGAATACCTTTGAAGTAAAGTCTCCGACTACAGTATTGAATCTTCAACGAACACATGTTTTCACATGTTCGTTTGGATATATGCTTTTCTGATGAATGCTCATAGGCACGAAACATATTTCAAGTAGAACTTCCCATCTATCGACTCTCAACACCCATCATAAAAACAAGATAATTAGCTTAGACTATCAATTGCCAAACTCAATTTGAATTCAGATATCGAAACGGATTGTGAACGGGGAATTGAGTAATAGCATGATTTCAGCGAACAATTTCAAAGCCTTCGAACAGGGAGGTTAGCTGCAGGATTTCCTTTCCAACTCAAAAATGAGTTAGATATTCACACTGACAGCAAGAATCTTAGTGAAGGTAAAAACTTCATCTAAAAAATTTACCACACACACTTAACTGGATTCATCAAGAGTATATCTTCACAACACTTACCATTCTGATGTGAAGTTTTCTGGGGATTCATATGAACTGTTTGATGAGGTTGAATGATTTGTGGAGCATGTTTATACATTTTCATCTCTTCATAGGGAGTTGTTATTCTAGCTGGTGAATTTGTCCAGTATTACACTGTTTACGACTGTAATTCCATCTGAAAACAAAGAAAGAGGAATGTGAACAGGAAAGTAACAAGATTAGCGTTAACCATAGACGTAACCAAACTTTATTCTAAGCATTTAGCAGCTAATTTGTCCTACTATGATAGTCTTCAGCAGTGTATACCCAATACTCCACCATGGACCAAACCTACGATCCTGACATTTCCCGGCGAACCTGTTGCTAGTGGTTCACATTATCATATTTTCCCCCCCTGGTTTCCTAGTCAATCAAAGGGCTTGACTAGCATGTCACCGTTTCAGTCCCTTCTCTGCAGTCTTCTCAACCTCGCTCTACGACTGACAAGAAGCTTTCATTTCTTCCTCACACTATCTCCTCCATGTCACCCTCACCACGGATGCCCAACTCGTCGTTTTCCATTCGGGTTCCACTCCACAGCCTGGCCTGGTGCGCGAGCTCCCTGAATGCTCTTCTCAGTGTATGTCCAATACAATCCATCTCCACTTTCTTCTGCATATTTGTTGGGCGCTAGGTTCTTCGTAAGTTGGTTTTTGCCAGCCAGTCAGAGTTCCTTGTTGCTTATTCTTGTTATTCTGGCCATCTGATCTTCAGTGTCAGTATCGAGTGAGGGTAGTTGGCAGGTGTTGATGTGATGTATGTGTGTAGTTTGTTGGAAATGCTTTTCGTGAGTTTCCCAGTCTCTGAAGCATCACGTGGAAGCACTGACTTGACGTTGGTGTTGAAAATCCGAATCTTGTTCACGCTTTATGCTGAGTGCAGTAGATCTCCACTCTGGTTTCAGGTTAATAAAGGCCTGTCTTTCTGTCTTTCTGATCCTGCCTTTGAGATCTATTTCTGTGTCACCGCCTGTACTTGAAACGATGCTGTCTTGCTTAGATAGATGAAAGAGCCAACTTCTTTTAGATTTCTCCCGTTGATAGTGATTGGTGCTTGTTGTTGATGTTGTTGGTTGGGTATCTTCATCACCTCTGTCTTCTCTACGTTCACCAGAAGGAAGTCCCATCTTCACTGCCTCGCCTTGCTTCTTCTGTCATCTTGTTAGTTTTCGCCAGTTGACCTCGGAGTCTGTGCGACAGACATAAATCACCGTCATCATCATCGGCGAAATCCAAATCTTCTTCCGGAGTCTTTTTATCGGTCCAGCCAGCGTATGCCCCTCTTCTCGCGCCTTACAGTTTGTTGCAGGATCCGATCCAGTCCACCACAATCACAAAGATCATCGATGATAGTAGGCAACCATGTCTCACTCCTGTCTATATATATATATATATATATATATATATATATATATATATATATATATATATATATATATATATACATATATATATATATATATAATGTTGAAAATAAATTCGTTGAGAAGAGTCTTTTCGCTGAATATCTTGTCCTTGATATTACAATGAGAATTATGAAATGATTGTCTAAATGATCACTATTCCATGTGATTATCCATACTGGCTTCCTGTTTTTCTGATCTTAAAGGTTCCTGTATCTCATTTAAAAGAAGACTTTTCATTCAATAGTGAAGGGACTTGTTTCCGAAATTTCAATTTTGAACTAATGATTCAGAGGAAAATCTGAAAACGATGAATTCCACCCAGATAGATGTAACACTTGTTTACAAAGTCTGTAGAGCATTGGTGGGATCAAGTATTGAGTTTACAGTGCTCAATGGTGAGTAGTTCAAGTAGAAGACAGATCATAATGTTAGTAAGTCATGAATTGTATTATTTTTCAAGCCACTTCAGTCCCTAATGTTTCTAACTGGCTTTTTTCACAGATTGACAATAATTACAAAGACAAAGAAAACTACTGAGTGACAGAAGAGCGTTTTGTCCTAGATTCCAGGTGTGTAACAATAAACACTAACAACTTAAGGTTTTATGGCAGATCTACTCAAACTCAAGGATTCAGATTTCTCAGCTGCTGTTAGCTATCAATAAAAGTTAATGATTAATAAAGGATTTATTATTAACGTAGTATTCATCACGGAATGACATCATTTGGAGAACAACTGAAGTTCTAAAGGCACTAGAGAGCCGTTTCGTCCTAGTACTAAACGCCTCAGCAGCACGCACCCACGACCCGGTTACAGATCCAACTCTGGTCCTTCAGGTTCTAAGGCCAACATGTTAACCATCTAGCCACTGGGTCGGAGCTCAATGCTTTAAGGTTTCCTACTTCATTCCGTTCGCGATATAGCACGGCTATCATCTAACATCTCCAGCTAGCATCCATTTCGATTCTGATTGGTTGAAAGAATTTATTCTCCAAACCACTTAAATGGATAAATAATGTCACAAGTACTTCATTGATAGTTAACTTACTGATACTTATACCTTCCTATTGCTTGCTATACTGAACAGAAAAGATCTGTTTCTGTTGGCATATAAGCTGGTGTGTGGATGCTTGTGTAGTACCCAACAGGCACCTGTCATCCTTCAGTAGCTTAGAGGATAATGTCATACTGGATTTGAGTCTCTGTTGGAGGCACGATTACTCGCTGGAATGTAGGTACATCCAGGTGACGAAGTAAAACAAGTACTGGAACCTAGTTTTAGCCACTATCTTTCAAGGTACATCATCAATAAAGATATCGTCAGCCATTCAGTATTACAGTACGTAAGTCAGTACCACACAAGTATCTGTCCTACTCTCTGGAGTAGTCTAGTAAGCTTACGAAAACATAGTCAAACTCACGTGTTATTCATTTGCAATATTACTAATTCTAATAACTCAGTTAGTGTAAAAGTGTGAAGCCGTACAGATAGTGAATTTGCAGTTACCCGATAATTTAGCCCTGTTATTATTTCAATTTATTGACTCAATTGTGAATTATTTGCTTGTATGTGTATTTAAGATGGAGACAGAATGAGTGATAAACATATGCACCCCATCGTACTTGAACGCTTTTTTAGGGAATTTAGCTCATTGCAACATATTTTCAGTTTGATCATATCAAATAGCTATGATTTGTCAGACTTGTATTGATATACTGAGTGATCATTGAAAAGTGGATCCAGAGGTCATTTGTTCATTTCATTTTCAATCATCACACAGTATCGATTCAACGTATTTATCATATACTGAATCCAATCAGACAACAATTTAAGACTAAAAGGCATTTAATAGCTATTTAGTGTTTCTCTAGGACTCTTAAACACTGAATACTTTTCCATTCCGTACAGGCTCGAAACCAAAACTATCAGATTTTGTGATGATTAAATTGCATTTCAATTAGTGTGCTGAAATCTTATCGTTCCCCCGCAGTCTATATTGACATTAAATAGCTTAGAGTAGATAGCATTAATCATTTGTATTTTGCTTAAAATATCTCTCCCCTCTATGTTTTCTACTCTTAGCTTACCATATACTAAGATAAATGACGTGTGATATATTAAATATGAGTTATTGTGTAATCATTTATTTTGCATCGCATATCTTCTCTCTTTTTCGGGATCCTGTAGGGATTTATTCTCAGTTAATGTATACCTCTGTTTCTCGGTATAGACTAATCTCTTTCTTCAAGTACTGTTAATAATAATAATAATAATAATAATAATAATGCAAAATACTTAGACAAGGGATTATCTAATCAAATGGCATTTGTAACAAAAACCAAGTTACCGAATAAATGCCACTTATTCTTTTCACCTGGTTTACTTTATTGCATCAGGCATACAAAACAAATTTTTTACCAGTGTACACTATCTACCTACCTGTCTATCTATTAACATATGACCACTTTTTTCCTTTAGAACATACAAACATAGAGAAACTGAACATTGATCTCTGGAATTTCATACCGGTGACTTATCTAAGCATTTCTCTATTTTATATCCTATATATTTATTAGTATGCATACATACATATGCAAATATTGTTACTGATTACATGGCATGATTGAAAAACTTAATGTTAAGATATTTGTTATTCGATTATAGTCTGAAAATATACTGATGATAAGGTTGCCTATCATTTTGCACTCTTCATTCGCCTAGTTTAGATGAAAAGTGTTTTATTTTTGCTATTATAATGCAGGGGGTACTGTCTAGTATTGTGTATTATAGCTTGTGTACATCCTGCGTTGATTAAACCGAATTGGTCGGCAATCCTTAGCATATAGACTGTTATGTAGATGTTTCGATATTTCAAGGATATTATCCATTGAGATGTTAACGATGAATATTAGATGTCAGTGGAAGCCAGGACACACATTTCACTCTATTTTTGACTTGCCTGTCGGTTGCACCAGTCCCCCAGGGAGTGCTTTTCTTACCAAGACTCGAACATCACTCATTGCGATAAACCGGTTAGATTACCATTTTTTTTGTTGAGCTAACTCCAATATCAGAGTGTCATGAATAACCTCCTGATAATTCCTCTTCGATGTTGATTAGCTTTAGGATTCACGGCAAGTAACTTTCCCCACCCTCGACCACTACTTTGTTCTCCTCATTGAGATCTACTACTAATGGTTGACAGTCATAGTAAGATTTGGAGCAAGTAATTATTGTTCGAAAAAAGATAACAGAATGACTTAACAAGTTTCATGACATTGTAGTCTATTTGACAGCTAACAGCAGAATCCAAGACGTGCATTTCGTCCTTTATGGGGCTCGTCAGTTGGCACCACCCGCGTCACAATGAGTGTCGTCATTTGCCCTGAGACTAGGCCAACGCAGAGGCCACATAGATAACTTTGTAGCTCTTGGAACACTGAGTGTTTGGTGTAAGTGGCGATCACGATTTCAACACGAGAAACGATTCATCCTAACAAGTCTTGAAGACCGAAACCTCCCATCTAGGCATTTAAAAAAAAGACGGATTGAGCGAATAGCATCGTACCTTCGACTGCTAGCCAAAGGTAAACACATAACACAGACTTGAAAGCAAGCAGTATTATGGTATGCATGTGAACAGAAATTAATCAACTCAGTCCTGAAAATTTAACACAGGTTTAATTTGTTCAAAAGGCCATTTTTAAATGTTTGTTTTCTTGTTAGTACTTCACTTTATCTCCATTTTTCATACGACTGACATAGAACTAAATGAAACCCGTTGCTTGAACAATACCTGTTGTCTTCAGTCCCTATTCCGTCAATGTTATTCTGGAAGACGCATATTAAATATGATTCCAAAGGGGTCAACAAATGAGATTAAATAAAATTTTAATTTATACTTGTGCTACTCATAAGTAGCATAAAACGTATGAAAAACATTTATACCATACCTTGTTGGATTCTGTTCCGTTTGGTCTGTTTGACATAGTGAAATCCCTTTGAAATGATCTGTTGACAAGTCAGTAGAATGTTGCAAAAAATTTACAGTTTGAGGTTTTTGTGATGAATATGAACCCCCAATATCTGTCCCACTTGAAATGCCAGAATCATGTAAATTCTGTATCTCTAACATATCATTTGTATTCTTTAAATTTGGTTTATTCAACGCTTTGTGAAATAATGCAGGATCTTTAGTAATACGAAACAAATATGACGAAACAAAGAATAAAAATAAAGTCATCACAAAGTCTACAACTCTATAAGAAGAATAGCGGAACAATTTGAAATTATTGGGTATACGTTTCAGCGAACTGGAGATATTTCCCTTGAAGACGTTGATAACTGTGTAGCGAATTCCTAAGCTAAGTTAGTAGAATGCCATAGACCTACTGATTTTCAATCTCTACAAATTTCTACGTAAACACTTTATTCCTCGAGTTATCGAAGCGATTTGGTAAACAAACAAGATGAGGTCACCTAGATGAATACAACACCATCTTTCAACAGGGGTTGAGTAATTCGACCTTGTTAAACAATGGGAAATCACAAGTATCAAACAATAACTGGTATCTGTTACATAAGAGGTGCCCTTGGTGCTCTAGTGGCGTAGTGGATAACACACTGGTGTTTGAAGAAATAGGCACTGAGTTTGAGTCTAAGTGAGGACAAGACTCACTGAGGTGCAAGTACACCCAGCTGACGAGTCCTAAACAGGGAGAAACACTCATCTAAGATTTCACTGCTATTTACTAGGTTGATAGATTGGGAAGTAAAACTTCCACATCCTATAATCCATCTACCTGTTCCTCTGAAAATATTATCAAAGTTGAACAAATCTGGCTTCAGGTAGCATAGGAAGGGTTTTCAACTTCATACTTTCATCACAGTGCATTGAGGAGATTAGAACTCATGTTTTTTCGTTAGCTCACTAGTGAAATTTATTCATATCATCAATAAAATTTATGAATATCAACGACTTCATAGCTCATCTCCTAGTCTATCTAATGAAGATTCTTTCATTGTTGACGAAAATTAAAAATATTTTTTTCAAGCAACAAATTGACAATACAAGCAATAACACTAAACCTATACCTGTTGCACAAGAAGTGGTTATCGTGGATCAGTGTTGTAGTGGATGACGCTCTTACGTTTGAAGCGATCGCTCCAGAGTCTAAGTCCCGGTTGGAATAACATCACTAATAGGCAGGTATATCCAGCTGACGAGTCCCAAATAGGACGAAATGTGCACCCTAGATTCAGCTGCCCATCATTAATACACAACAAACTGAAATTTATAATTTTCTATTCTGTTTACCAGGAGACAGATGTTCTGCTTTAGGCTTCTAACTAGTATTGATAAAGAGACTGATTAGCTTCTTAAGGTCTTTCTATCATCCTTACTGTGCTTAATATCATAATCAGGGTTTTGAATCAATCAGGGGAAGAGACATATGAATGTGAAAGATCCTACTATGTGAAGATTAAAGGCGAAATATAAGTCTGGACTATGGTGGGAATCAGACCATCAGCTTTTCCTCTAACTTACACATGTACTACCGACTACAGTATGACACTCAGCTACTGATTTCACTTAGCCGGTAGTTCACACACTAACGGTTTGAATTATGCAACAATCCAAATTTTCATTTACCCTAAATCATAATTACCAGTCTGCCAAATCAAAGCTATCTTAGATAGTTACACTAAACATCAGCTAACAAAGGAGCCATACCTTGTGTCCAATAAGTAAAATAAAACCTCAGTCGTTTGAGATATAAAGAATCATGCCACAGAAGATATATGCATCATTAAAATTTTCATAAGATGAAGATTGTAAAGTCAATGAAAATGAATTGAATATTTAGACAAACATTCTGTTAATCAGTTTTTTCCAAAGTAAGGAAAAAGGAAACGCAACACAACAATCTTGTACATGTTCATACAGTATGCAATGAGATACACATTGCTTTTTCAAGAGCTATTGATATCAACTAGCTTCTCAAACTTCGATAAGTAGAACGATGTTCAAACTCGACCTATTGGTTGAAAACTGAATACTTAAACCAAACTATCCATACCAGAGAGAGAGAGATCACCATCTTTGGAGTGGCATTAAAGAAAGCACAAAAAACCAACACATATCCAACTTTCTCAGGTAATTCACTGTAAGAAAGGCAAAAATAAGCTTCTGAACTTCGGTTTTATTGCTAACTTCCAAAATACCGCCTAAAGTGAGTTCGTATCATCTTCTGAACAATCTACAGTTAGCTAGAGCAAGAAGATAAATATGTTATCACACTACTATAATGATATTATACCATAGGAAACTAGGAATAAGTTTGTGTCTTGATTATATGTTCTTTTAATTCCGGAAGTTTGTGAAGAATAAAATGATTTCAAAGAAGATTCCATGATATGTCACTATCGACCAAAGAACCTCTAAAGGCCTAGGAATATGAAACAGATATTCCATGCTAACTTGTGATTGTTGAGCGGTACATCCAATAACATTTATGAGGTGATCAAACAGAGGACTGTTGGAGTTTTTAGTTATTAAATCAGTTACTGAGTTCGAGTCCTACGGTTTGACATCCGATTTCTGTCCTCTAACCATATAGTGCTGTTTCAACTACAGGTGGCGGGACAGACGAGGATGTCAAAGCCAGGCAGGATCGGAAAAGCAAGACAGGCCTTCATTAGCCTGAAACCAGTGTGGACATTTTCTGCACTCAGCATGTGGAACAAGATACGGATTTTCAACACCAACGTCAAGTCAGTGCTTCTGTATGGCTCACAGACTTGGCGCGTCACGAAAGGGATTTCCAACAAACTACAGACATTCATCAACAACTGCCTACACTGGCTAAATACTGAAGCTCAGATGGCCAGAACAATAAGAATAAGCAACAAGGTGCTCTGGGAACGAGCCAACCAAGAACCTATCACCCAACAAATATGCAGAAGAAAGTGGAGATGGATTGGCCATGCACTGAGAAGGCCGACTGAGGACATCATGCGTCAGGCCAGGCCATCGAGTGGAATCCCCATGGGAAGCGACGAGTTGGGCGTCCGTGGTGAGGGTGACATGGAGGAGGTCGTGCGAGGAGGAAATGAGAGTTTGTGGGCTGTCGTGGAACCAGGTTCAAAAGATCTCAGAGAACAGAGGTCACTGGAGACGTGCTACTGAAGCCCTATGTTCCACTAGGAACCCAAGGGACTAATAATAATAATAATAATAATAATAATAATAAACCATATAGTGCAACTATCATCCAATAACATCAGTGACTGACTCCAAAGTTTATAACTTCTTACTAAAACTTCAAGAATTTCATCTGGAAACACTTCAATGGTAAACACTGATCAGTTGTTTAGTTAAAAGGTTTCTAAGGGAACAGTTGATGATCTGTTTTAAAATGATGGAAAAGATTTGTAGCTCAGAACAAGGATAATGATAATTTGGTGTTTACTGAATTTTTATTTCTTTTTAGTTGTGAGCGTTTCTTCATCAAGCTCAAAGTTGAGTTTATCAAAACATTGACACAACACCATATTACAGTATAATTTGGTCAGTACTAGAATAGCTTCCAACCTTACAACTGTCCTAGAAACGGTTAAGACTTCATGTCATGAACGAATTCTCGGTTTGAAAGAGGAAGAACTATAAACTCCTTAGCTTTTTATGTATGTTGGATTAGTTTTAGTGCATGGAAGCTATCTTCAAACTAATCATTAATATTATCACTTAGACTAGCTGGAAAACTGCGGTTTTTCCGACTTGTATTGATACTGGGTGATGATTGAAAGTGAAATGAAATGAACCATGGCCAGGTTAGGACCAGTACCCTTAATCGTCACTCAGTATCAATACAAGTCTTCCAAACTACAACTATCTCAAATAGTCAGACAGGTAGTCATTATGATGATCCCCGTCTATAATTCAAGTTGATATGAATTGGAATTAGAAGTTATGAATGAGAAACCAGTGTGAGTACAATCAAGTGAATTCACATGGTAGTCGGCCAGTTGGTAGGACTGTGGGTCGATAACTCAGAGTTAATTGGTTCGAGCTCTACAATGGCTCAGAATCCCATTCCACCTCGAAACACTATCCAGTATTCATCATCAATATTTTTTTGTATTTACGATTCCCTGTCGTTTATTCTACTGAACTGATGAAATAGTTGGTCCGTGTTGACGTACAGACTACTTGAACAGACGCCTCGAAACAACTGTGGCCAATGGAACGAATTATAGAGAGTTATTCTTTAAAAAACAACTAAGAAACAATGATTATTAATAACGACTTACTCAACCATGAATCGGTTAACAATTGAGCAGCTGTCATTAAGGTAGCTCTTGTCTCAGCGTCTGTAACACCCATTTCAATTAATTCATTCCTAGTCAATCTACTGAGTCGTTTCACATCTGCTACACCGTGTTCCAATAGACATGGCCAAACAGACTAAAATGTTGAATAAAAGTAGAGGTTGTAATTTATAATGAAAGTTATTCATTCTAGAAATTTCTATCAATTATATCTTGGCCGATAAAACAAAAAAAACGGATTACGATAGTACTCATAAGTAGTAAGATAGAGAATCCATTCAGCGTATAATTTACAAGCATTGAGATGGATTTACTCCCAGTCCAGCGTATCCACTATTTTCAAATTGTTATATATACCCCAACCTGTGTCCGAAAAATGTTGTGGATAAACACAAATACGTCTCATTCCATGATTTTATTCAAATGTAGTTGGATAAATCCACAGGATTTGTGGATGGACGAAATTATTAGTGGAAACCAAAGTTGACATCTTAGTCCTACAATAAATTTCAAGACGTCATGGTCCCACAAAATTTCCGTTATTATATGACCTATTCACTTCATATACGTGCAATATACCCCTAGCATTAGCAGATATTCATGTAATGATGATGTGATTGCTTGGAGTGTTATTTGAAAGACGTTGATATTTGTTGGTGAATGTTTCAATGCAAATCCAAGAAGTTTCATCACACCTTCGACTTCATAAAGATGTTAACTATTTGTGGTGTATCGTATATTTTTATGACAGTTTCTAAGTTGTAAATGAATGATGTTTCTCTGGTCTACTTGACTTGAAAACTTTTACTGTCAGTAGATATCCTATGCAGTTTTTTGAAAAAAAGATTTGGCTTCTTCGTGACCTAATGACACCAGAGATGAGGTGAACATCAAACATCTCTCATTTGTATCATGAAATATAAATCTTACTTACATGGATTAATCACTGGAGACAGCAACCAATTTCATGTTGTCTAATCCTGAGTGCTGACCAAATCCTATCGAACATTTTTGCAATATGACCATGGGGCTAGAAAGGTCACCATCGCGGTGCACATTAATGGATTTTAGTTAGTTGGTTGGTTAATTGTTGACACTGGTCAGCAACCGTGAAACTTATGCCTAGCAGGACTTCCTACTACTACCAACTAACACTTTGTTCCACTACAGACAGATACTGTCGTTTTATTTCGCAATGCAATCTAGAAAATCTTTCTGCAAGCTCCCAATAACATAACGGTGAACGTCCCATGAGACAATTTCAAAACTGATATGATTTGTGACTATTCAGACTGATATGTGACGCATGCAGACGGATAGACAGATAAAATCAACGTAGAACCTCACATACAAGTGCACCGGGTCAATATGCCACACGTCAAAATAATCAACAAAGAACAAGTACATAGAAAAATTGTGATATGAAAATAGACAAAGTTATGTGACAGAATAAACAAACTTTAGAAGACGTCAAGGAGTGAATACATCTGCGTCATTGTGACCGATGTTCAGATATTTCACTGGGAGACATCAAACACTGACTGATATTTTCTTGCGGAGCCCACACAGCTAGACTTCATCTGACTACATAGCTCCGAGTAACAGTCAGGGACTTCGTCAAATTGTGTCACGTCTTGGTTTGGACACCCTGAAAACCCTTCCAAACTTATCCAGCTCCCCCAAGTTTGGTATGCTGAGGCAGGCGGTGGCTTAATCTCAACAGCACATGTCTAAGCCGACCAAAGTTCAAAATCTCGTGCCCTTCGCCTGAACTCAACATTGTTCACACAGTGATCCCATCAAACACGAGAAATGCTACGGATATGCTTCTGATCGAAAACCTGTAGCCACTTCATATCTTCTACCTTTGATCGGCATGTCTCACAGCTGCATAGTAGGAAAAACGAACTCATCCTTTGACAGAGATAGTAGGATATCTCGCCAGCAGGCGCCACGGGTGATGCAAGTTGCCAAATACCAAGGAGGTCTTCTGCATCTAACTTGATATTTGGTCAGCAGTCACACCATTTGGGCTGATGTAAGTGCAGTGGTCGATGCATTCCAACACTTCACTCCTCACCATTAAGCTCATACATCAACGAATGAGTGATGACAAATAACATCATGAAAACAGCTTGCGTGTGTAACAATATTCTCATTGATTGCTTTCTTTCCACGGTATTACAACTAATATTATAAACCTATTGATCATTTTTCAAGTGGTAGTGATCCCGTGCCACTCTGACCATGTTTCTATAAATATAAGTATCTGATTTTGTTTGACTTGACCTCTGTAGGGTAGTATAGTCCCTCTTACTGTAGTAACTTGGACTGATACACTTTTATGCTACGTTCGTCTTTATCTGTCTATGTTTCAATTCAACAATCATTCTCTCTCGTTATATACCTATTTACCTTGGGAGTGTTGTGTTCTCTGAGCTTAGTGGTTTGATTTGAAGTCTTCATTGTCTTTCTAGACGACATAATCAGTACTAACTTCTTCAGTATGAAGTGAGCTGTTAGTATCTCTCCGTGAGTGATTCAATAGTTTTCCCTTATGAACTGATTTATGATTGGTTGTTTCCTTTGATTGTTGTGTAACTGACTCTTCAACTTTTTCTGTTGGCTGTTCTTCTGCTTGAACTCTGACCTTTCTATCGTTTATCATTTTTTTTTATCGGTTGATAGGTTGGGTCTATGTCAAAGCATCAAAGCATCTACTCAGTAACCTGAATGCTGAGCTTCTAAGAATTCTCTGATATTCCTTATGCTTCATCTGTCCAAGATTTCTAAATTGTCAGAATTGAACTCATGTCCATAGTTATCTGTATGTTTTGAAATGAGCAATAAAATGCCGTGACGTTTAATAACCAGTTGGTGTTTGTGTAAACGATAAAGAAGAAGGAGACCACTCTGCCCAGTGAAGTGTTGATTACAATTATTGAAGTTGATTATGTACATGGTATTTCGTTTACCTTCTTTGGTTGTTGCATCCTTTGGTCTCCAAGATATAGTTTGAAGATAGTTGTAGATGTCACCGACGTGCACAATATCCAGGCCATGAGTAACAATACTACCTGTTGAAGTATAGGATTAGATTGCTTGAAAAAGCCTGTGGCTTTTTGTGTCACTTTCCTGTATGAGAACAGTCTATATTCTAGAAATATTCTATCATGTTTTCCAACGCATAAGACTGACTGATAGCACTTTACTTACCACGATCACATTTCAGTAGTTCTCAGATATTTCATAATGTTTACAAAAATCAGTAAAATTCTATCCACAGACGAAAACTCACTTATTTGTTTAGTCTCAACAATCCAGTGAATGTCTTAGCATAGGAAAAGTCTACTGGATGTAGTCAAAAAGTAGCTATAAATCAATCTAGAACTCTCAGAATTGTGATACTAACTGAAGAGATCATATCAGATGTATAGCTAATTCTAAGCTCCACAATCATCAAGTTTTAAACAGAAGACATAACAACGGAATCACCGATATCATTAGTACTAAAAGAAATATCTGAGAGTAGTTGGGACCGCGTGAATCTAGTGACGTCCAAACCTTTTGTTAAGTTACCGTGAAAATATATGGATGACACATTTATTGTCATATAGTTAGAAAATATCCCCAGTTTCTTCACATATGTAAACTCAGTAGTAGATTAAATTCAACTTACTTTTAAGTTAGAAAGTGGGCAAGAAAAATAAGCTATTTTGGATTGCGGTTACGTTACTACTGTCTATCAAGAAAAAGCCCACTGTAAGAAGTTTAACAACTTCAAGTCATCCCATCTACTACCAGTTAAAGCAACTTCAGGAAAATATTTAAACAAGACGGCTAGAAAACTCACTTGTGACTCCAGAGACCCAAATAATTAATTGGAGTTTATAAGGGAAACACTATCAGTCTTTTAGAGTTTACTAAGACGTTTATAAGAACACATAGGAAAGGTAGTACTAATTGCAATATGAATAATAACCGCAGGACAAGTAGAAAGGAGTTCAAAACCTCTATGATATTAATAATATAAGGAAGGAATATCAGAAAATTTATGAACAATCCTTAACAAGGCTCCAATTAGGATGGCATTCAAACCTAAAAATCCTATTCAGAGACAAGATTTGTCGGTTTAACGATCTGATAGATCTAATTAAGCAAAGGAATCTAATCCACCAAATTTCATGCAATGATTGTGAGGCCAAGTACATACGTCACACTAGTCAGTCGGTGTCGGTTCGACAATCCAAACATAGGAATCTAGCCAAATATAAAATAAAAGACCCCAATAGGAGCAATAATCTAGGAGAAAACTCTGCTATTGCAATGCATACATTAACACACAGACACATAGTAGGGTGGAAAAAAATCACTGTACTTAAATGATATCACTTGTATTATCCCGTCATTGGTTGGACCGAATTGATCAGTCTCTATTGGCATATGGGCTTTAGCGCGAATGTCTCGATATTACCTTTATTTTTGGTTCGTATAGTAAGGATGAATAGTGGCTAACAATGGAATCAAAGACGCAGGTTTCCTTCTACTTAGAACTCGTCGGCTGAATGTACCTGCCTTCCAATGAGCAGTCTTGTCCCTACTAGGCCTCGAAACCATGACCGATTGACTTGTGACCTAGTGAGTAACGCTCTGGCGTTCTAGCCGATCAATCTTGGGCTCAAGTCTTAGTGGGAACAACATCGCTTACTGAGAGGCAGGTGTATTCAGATGACGAGTTCGAGACAGGGTGAAACGAGCATCTCGGATTCCACCGCTAACCACTGTCCATCATTAATATTGCTGTACTAAAGTCCAAAATAACTAGGGAGAGAGAGAGAGAGGGTGATTACTGAATCTTTGTTCATCGAATTATCACCCAGCACATGCAATCGAATCCAACACCCATTCTGCGGAAATGGTAAATTCTACTATCACCAAAAGCAAGGATTGCTGCTACATCATCGTGGAGCGAAATATTTGCTGAATCTAGTTAGCGAAATCTGCACACCGTGTTGTGAGTGATTCCTGAATACTCATTTTATTCAGTAGTATTTGCTAACCTATTGAATATTATTTTGTAGTTCAATAAATTAATTCTCAGTATCTTACCTCTACTCCAAGACGCTGCATCAAGCATAGAAGCATGGACTCAGAACATCTTTCTGAAGTACCATTGGTGGTACTTTTTCTTTCAAACTGATTATGGGAGTCATTTTTATGTGAACTTTGAAATGAATTTGTACAAAGTGTTGTACGCAATTGACTGGGGTCAACAGGAAGTGAGACAGGAACTCGAGCAATTGATGCGGCATTTGGTACCAATGGCAGTGTTTCATATGTATCAATTGTTGGACTACTTGGAGCTGATTGACTAACATCTGACTGATATGGTGAATTCAATAGACCATTATGTGTACGGCTGAAAAATGAACCACAACGTAGCGTCATACCACGACGTTTTCGCCAATTTGTCTGTGATGGAATTTTCGTTAAGCATTTCTTGAATCTTTTGGATATCGATATTTTACTGAGGATAAAGGACCAGATGTTTCACCATCACTACTATTTGGTGATGTAGGAGCGGAAGAAAGTACTTCTTTTCTTGCTACAAATAAATCAATAAAACGCGGGTGATGACATTAAAACAAAAGTTTAACATTGGACAATTGAAAAATTCATAACCTCTTTGAAAAAAAAAACAACATTAAACATCCCTCGTAACCTCTTTCATTGTCCTTGTAAGTAACACATTATGAGTTTTTAGCAGACTTGCAGTAATATTTTTAAAATAAACAGTTCATAAGAATCTACTTATCTTCAAAAGGAAGTTTCTTCCGCTTCTCACTGATGTTCACTTGGAAACAGTTGATCTGTGGCATTACAGCAAAGAAAAAAGGAAACAAGATGACATTTGATGGTAATACTGTTTTACAGAACATTTAGATCTCGAGAGACCCGCTATTCCTAAGCTAGAGCTGACATTGAATTATGTATCGGTGGGCAATTTTGAAGTATTCCGTGGCGCTAGGAATCAGTTTTCTGATGTATACTGGTTCTCATTGGCTCTTCTTTAGCTGATATCAATCGATGACGGGAACTGTATCTGCAAAATCAACTTAGAGTTAACCTAGTTGTTATGTCAGTCAAAAATTGGAAAACGTGAATCTCAAATAAGTGTCAGTGGTCGTACTAAGTTATTCCATTTTTGATGTAGTAAGTGATATTGTTGTATAGCTCATTTCAGAAGCTTTCGATTCATCCCTCATGCATCTATGTATCACCTATAGTACGAAAATATTTACATGTTGAGTGATATCCATTATTGTGTATTATCCCCTTTTTTTCCTTGAAATTGGTTATCTCATCTTTCTAAGTTGTACTGCCTCGCAGTCAGGTAATTAAGTTTTATATATAGATGAATCAGATCACCTGAAAGATACGGACGGTAAGCATCAGACTTTGTGTTCTTTCCTACAAGACAGTTGGAATGGCAGAACTGTGTGACTGAATTGGATAAGTATATCCCAGATCAATTACATTCACGGTCAGCGTTAAGACTAAATCACGTGTATCAGACAATCACAGTCAGGCAGAGTCATAGCAAACTATCGTGAAGGTTAACTCAAGGGTACAACACTAGTCTGCTGTCAGAACATGAAATCTCTTTGTGTAATTCAAGATTATATCACTAGACTTTGTATCACATGCTACCGTTTAACGAAAATCGGTATATTTCGAAGACGAAGCTGCAAGTTAATGCTTTTCAGCGGTACATAAGGCTGTTATTTGTTGATACTCAGATATCATTTTGCTTTGAACACGCTGTCTAGTTTGACATTGGAACATGCGTCAACTCGTACGTTGCATAACTACGTATAGAGAATATAGATTGTTTATAAGTTTTATTTAGTGATTGTCGTCATGGTAAGATAAAAAAATAACTTTTTCTCAATCATGAATTAACAGTGGACGCATATCATTAATTCACATCAAAAAGTACCGCAGAAATATGTTTTCATTTTTTTTGTAACCCTTAATATTACAGGAAAATTGGTGTCTTATTCTTACATATCTACCTACATTGGTTAAAACAACTGGGCGTAATAGTTTATTTCCCTTTCTCTTTCTCAGTATTCAATAATTCCTTTAAAACCATCGGTAATCTGGTGAACTTTTGACTACCTGTAGAAGGAAGTGGGTTTTTTTTAAAACAAAAATTGATAGTAAACTAGAGAAACATGCACTGTTTATAAGAAGATAAATTTAAAGCTGTTAGCAGTGAATAAAGTCAATCAACCACATATGAAGTTTGTTCCATTGTAAGCCTTAATGTTATAACATTCTGGTGTTATACATTTAGTGTTGTGAGTCATTCGGTAAGCTTCATACTTACTGGGACTCGTTGGTTGGAATCATCTGTAAACTTGTGGAAGAGATTTACTCACTTATGTGTTGCGTTTAATTTACCCATTAAAAATAAACTTGATTGTAACAATACTGTTTCCAATTGGATCTCCTCAGATTAACGAGGACCAGTAAAAGAACTTTTTATCTGCTTCTAGTCTGTTTTAAACGTTTTCGAGTCGAAAAACTGTTTTGTGACAAATGAAGGACAAGTTACTGAGTTTCGTTACTTCCAAGTGTGTTTATCACTTTATTGGCTCTTTTGAAGATAGCTGCATCGGGTGTACGGCCAAGCAACTTAACCAACGTGTTACAGACCACCTGTGACTTGGAAATAAGACAAGTCAACTCTGTATGAAGCTCTGGTTAATGGTGGTTACAGAATAGATGAAACGAAAGCGTTCAAACTGACTTATCCCATCCTACTGAAACCATACCGATGGGTTTCCAACTCGCCTTTGACACATAACTAAGGTTATAGAAATCCGAAGCTTTTTAGTCAAAGGAAATTTGTTCAGCTTTTAACCCTGCTTGCCTTGGTTAGAAGAGACTTGATGAACGAGCTTACAGACTGATTTATACAATACTGTTCTTCCCGTTTTGTGTTATTTTGTCATCCCTTCTACACCAATATCCACAGCCTTCATCCTTCAGTATTTTGCAACTGTATTATCCCTTTCCAAAGTCTGACCTACTTTATCAGTTTGTCTAAACACCTACTATCACTTATACTACGACTATTTTTACTATCGTCAAGTTCACAAACCGCAACCTTGTTGACTCACAAATTACTTTGTTCAGTTCATATTTTATATATATGTTGAAAGTTATTCATATTAGACTGAAGAATGATAAAATCTAACTGAAAACGATTATGTTCGTCTACATGTTCCAGTGAGAAGTCGTGACCAGTTGAGCCAACCAAGTCGAACATCAGAACAGTTACTCAACCACGGCAACGGATGAAGATTGCTCTATATTGTGAACTGACAGAAGTAGGAAATATGAAACTTCCGAACCAGTGGTTCAATGGTGACGTGCTAGCGGCAGAACCTGAAGGCTCCGGGTTCGACACCAGATAGGATCTTAACTGCGCACTGTTGAAGAGTCCCATATTAGGATTAAACAGGTATCCAGTGCTCACAGGTTTCCGGTGTTCTTCCAACTGATATCAGTCTATGGCGAATTCCAACCTGAAATTATTCAATAAATCTCCACAAACCTCCAGATTGTTTTGGTATTACTTTTCATAATGAAAATTTCTGATAACTATTCCATTACCAAGATAGTATTCATTACGGACTGACATCATTTGGAGAACGATTGGAAAGTTGAGAGTACTGGACAACTTTTCTGCCCTGTTATAGAAACCTGCAGTATTGCGTACCCATTACCCCGTTAGGGGTCAAACTCATAGCCTTCAGGTCTCGTAGCAAATGTTTAAGGAATCTAAGAACCATGTGTTCCCTCATGATATCAGCTATACTTTATTGATCAGTGCCAACGAACACGAAACATTAGAGAGACATACAGTCTTTCCAACTGGCTCTCAAAATCTAATTTATGTGAGATCTTCATCATTCTCAGCAGTGTGATACCATCGTTAAGCTACATGTTTCTTGATTGACCCATAGAAATATCAAGGGTCTATTTTTTGCATTCAGTTGAGCAGGTGGGTTAGATTTCGGTCAACAGTTGAAAGTCGTTTAGGAAGCCAAGTAGTAAGAAATGATATCTTCATGTAATTTTTTTGCTGCCTGGATTACATTTCAAATAAACAGAGGTTGAGCAATTCAGTTTAATATAACAACAGGAAATTACAATTACCCATAAGTAACAGCGGGTACATATTGCACAAGAAGCAGTTTTCATGCCTCCATGGGCCCACAGATGATGCTTCGGATTTTAAAGTGATGGACACTTGGTTCGAACCCTGATGAGGATGTTGTCACTCGCTGTACTACAGGGACATACAGCCGACGAGTTCCGAATAGGTCAACACGTGCATTTTAGATTCCACTGATGACCATCAAGTACACTACCGGTTATGCAGATATGTTTTAGATTGAGTCACCAGATATCTAGTAAATAAGTCCACTGGCATTGATAAATACAATGGTCAAATACGCAGACATACACAAAGACACGCTAATCTCATATAAATCTATTAAACAATGATAAAATGACAAGGGGAAAAGTGAATTTTGGAAAGTATATCAAAAGTCTGGTGATTGTAGACAGAAAGGAATAAAAAAACTTGACTGGCGACAAGTCAAACAGGAGTTGATCGATAACAGACTGGAACACTGGAGGTTTTATAGTTTTGTGTGTGTATATGTTTATGTGATTTTTCAGTATTTTATTTCTTGAACCAAATCGACTAATCTTCGTTAGTGTATGAGTATTCTAGAATCGAAATGATTAACGTTTTCCTTCCACATACTTTGTAACTCTAGATGGGTGAGGATTGATCCGACTCAGTCCAATATATACTCATTTACTACACTATGAACTACATTCATTAGATGAGGACATATAATACTATATAGTTGTTTATGTGGAAATAGGTGAGGAGGGATGAGAGCTAAGAAGCGACCCATTCGATTGAATAAGCTAACAGACAATCATCTGGGGTTTGAAGTAGTGGATAATAAGTTTCAGTTTCACTTGTATTATCTTCATTCCTTTGAAAGGCAGTACTAAACACTGAAGAGTGATAAATCAGAGAAAACTATTGCTGTAGTTGAATGCTTTGAATATAAAAGCTAAAAATGACGCTCTACCTATCCATTCCTTGCTTTTTGACTCAGTATCTGCAACATGATGTGGTATTTGAAGCTTTAGTCAAGAAATCTATGCATGTGATAATGTGGAGGGAGGAGTACTTATAAGGTCTGAAGAAATTTGAAGGGTATAAATCAACCTATCTATCATCTGCAAACCAGTACTGAGGATATCTTCTAATCTAACCAATAACACCATTCGATGGTGAACATTATTTCAAGTATGATATTTCCGATGGCTTATACTTCTGGAAGGAAGTCTCCATTCGCAACATACAGACAGCCTTGAACCTCCATGTGCATCTACAATCATAGGTAGATTATTGTTCCCTTGGTGATTCCAGCCAGCTTCGCACGTTGCTGATGAGTGCCAACAACCACGAAACATATATCAAGCAGGACTCCCTGCCTATTGACC